ATATATATATATACTCTCATTTTAAAATGTTGAAACAACTCAGATTTTGTTGGTCTTTTGAGTCATTGATAACGAAGGTTGGATTGGCAGTTGGAGAGTGACAGTCATTTGTAGGAAATTGGGTTGAGATGGACATTGATCTTTTTTTGTTGTTCGGATAAGTTAACTAATAATGACACACATCATATCATTGTTTATATAATGGATAAAGTATTTTAATGTTTTGTTTGAAAGAGAAGCATGAATAGACGACAGGAATGAAAGAGAATGATCAAAATTAATTTGATATAAAATAAGTATAAAATAGTATAAAATTTATAATTATTTGGTAGAATAGAATTATGTGAGAAATAGAAGAAAAAAATTGATATTTAAAAATATATTTTATATAGTTAAATTTTTATGTAAAAATATATTATTTAAATAATTATAATTTTATCTTTTACAATGTATGTATTTAGACAATAGTATAGGGGTAGTTTTTTTGTGTCCATTTCAGTGAAAAATTCCAAAAAAATCTATTCTTGAGGGAGTGAAATTAAATCTAGATGAATTTCACCATAATTTTCACACAAATCCACTTAAATCGTCTCTTCTAAATGCATTTTTTTTAATTCCTTGACAATTCTTCTATTTTCCATTTTCTACTAAATCACATTTGCTAAACATACCATAAGTATGGAAAATTAAAGTTATTGTTTGGTAGAGAAGAAAGAAATACAAGGAAAAGAAGAGAAGGAAAGAAAATAAGACTAAAAAATAAAGTGAAAGTCGAGGTTGTTTGATAAAAGAGAAGTGAGAGGAAGATATACTTTTAATTAATTTGTATTAAATAAAACATTTGACGTAAAAATATTAATAAATATTGTAAGACTTGTTATGTACATTTTTTTCTCATTTTTTAGATTTTAGAATTGTTTCTTTTACAAGTTTCTCTAAAAATTCTCTCTCTCCCTCTCTCTCTCACTCTAATTTTCTCTCATTTTCTAAATGAATGAACTACAACAACTTGATGGAAATGTGTGACGAGCCCATTCAATTGATTCAAGATTCTATGAATTGCGGTAAAACTCAAGTTTTTGATCTATTTTTACCATACGAATTCTCTTTGTCTTCTCCATTTTAGATTTAATTTTCATTTTTATGATTATGAATTTTACTTTAATTAGATATAGAACCAAGATTGAAGTTTATTTTCATATCTAGACCTAGATTTAAATCTAGATCTAAAATAACCTAAATCACCAAAATCAATCATTCGTCATTCTTGAATTTCATGAAAATTGTAAGATCGCGATTGCATTTAACATTTTTATGAAATTTAATAGATTTAGATTTAGATCTACATTTTAATTTCATTCGTGTTGATTTAGGTCGGTTGAATTTGGATTATATTTTGAACCATGAAAATTTATCGCAAAGATCAAAATTTTGAATGAATGCAATTTCCATTTAAAATTTCTAGTTAATTTTTTGTTTTGCGTTCTTAATATTCAATTACTATTTCGCTATCCAAAATCTCCTTCCCAATTACGTGATAATTTTATATTCAATTGACTTGTGTCTTCGAGAAGAATGATCAAGGTTATACCCTATATTACAAATCCAAGGGAGTAATTTTTTTTATAATGATTCAATAACATTATCATACACCTCCTCCAATAGAAAGCTTCAAAAGGAATCATTCCAATACTAACATGAAAACTATTATTGTAGGTAAACTCTACCAATGACAACACCTCTTTTCAACTCCCTAGATGATCCAACACACAAGTTTTCAATAAATCTTCTAAGGACTGAATTTTCCTCTCAGATTGACCACCCGTCTAAGGGTTATAAGTAAAACTCATTCTCAACTTCGTTCCTAGGGCTTGGTATATGCTTTGTCAAAACTTGAAAGTGAACATTGGATCTCGATCTAAGATAGAAGGTACTTCATGCAACTATACTATCACTTTGATATACAACTCAATAAACTTCTCTAAGGACCCCTTAATGTTAATAGGTAGAAAGTGAGCACATTTTGACAGCCTATCAACTATCACCCAAATGGCATCACCATTCCTAAAAAATCTAAGCAACCCAGCAGTAACGACCTGCCGTGATTCCTACACTTAGTGGAATCGCACTAATGAACTAGTGAACTAAAATAAAGTATTAGGCTGGATAACAGAATACACATATGAATGGAGTTATAAGAATTTTCATACAAAATATAG